GAATTGTTAGCTGGCTGAAGACAGGATTCAGTAGAGTTCCCTTGCGAACCTTCAGGATGTGTAAGAGGCGGGAAACGTATTCACAAAGTCACCGACAATTCCCTTCTCCACTCATACAAAGTCACCGACAATTCCCTTCTCCAAGCAGCAACAAAAAAGCTGCTTAGAGAATAATTCAATAAAGTCTTACATGTGGCGTTGCATAATTTGGCCCATCAGTAATTCACTTTATCGTCTGTCCTCACTGCGGTCATATTTTCATCCAGTGTTTAATATAAGTTGCCAATAACAATTCCAATTCTGACCCAATTACACCATCGGTGTCGTTGTGGTACGCGAGCAGCTAAACAGAGACAATTAGACTTCAAAACAAAAGTATTTAATTTAATTTAACAGCAACTAATGAGATAAACTGAGCAAATAATTACGACAAATAATATTCTAATTAATTTGACCCAGATAACAGAACGTGATAATTCGACATAGTCGTCTAACGAACAAGTGCACATAAATCCTAAAGCCGTTTCAGAAATTAGTCAAATGTTTCCAAAATTTATTCGGCCCTTCACGCACCTGAAAAACGTACATGCATACATCGCGGAGTTCTGTTACGCATTCAGAAGGTCCCGTGATCGAAACTCGATTTGGCTATTGTAAATTTTTCTTAATTTTCCCCGTCACCTCTGGGCAAATTCTGGGATAACAGTGTACTTTAAATCCTACTAACTAACTAACTAACTAACTAACTAGATGGCTTACCGAACCCGAAGGTTCATCACCGAATTAACCAAAGCCCTCCACCGGACCCAGTCTCCTTCAACTCCTATCTCCCACAGATCCCGCCTGACATTATCCTCCCATCTACGTCTAGGTCTCCCCAGAGGTCTCTTCCCTTCAGGTTTCCCAACCAATACCCGGAGCACACCTCTTGTCCCATCCATGCACGCTACATGCCCCGCCCATCTCATTCTTCTCGACTTAATCACCCTGACAATACTGGGGAGGGGTACAGATTTTTAAGCTCATCATTATGCAGTTTTTACTAATATAAAAATATTTCATCGTTTTATTCTAAAGATGTGATCGAACCGTCCATCTTAAAACCTACACAGATCACATTATACAAGTTTGAAAAATCGAAGTGCATTTATTTATGCAATAAAACACGCATCGTCCCCAGGATGTAAACACGCTGTACTGAATAAGACACAATCGCTTCCTTCGAAATCCTTGTCAATTCATCGTCATGACCTGTGTTAGCAGACGCGTGCGTCTCTCGAGACGATGGATCTCAGTAACACGTAATGAATGGGCTCACTCTTCATTTCGAGGGGTGGGGGAAGGGTGCAGAATTACTATAACGATGGGTGAGCTCTGAACTGTGATGAATGAGCCGTCACAAGCGAAGGAACTTTAAAAGTACGGCTGACACCCCAGGGTGTTAACACCGGTGCGGCAAGGTGCTGGTAACGGCGTAACACCTGCGGGTTGCATAAAAGGTGGCGTATTTCTTGCATAGCTAAGCGTCTATCAGCTTCTCGATAACAACTCTGCTCCGCAGAATGGTTTATTTGCTTTAGAAATTGCAAACAATCTTGAATTCAGCATCGCGAGCATGGCTGTCTTCGTAACAATTAATCTAAAAGTTTAAAAAAAAAACATTAATATCTTTTAACTGACAAGAAAATATATTAACTCCTTGTACCACGAATGAAGAAGATGACAATTTCTAACCTCGGGAAAAGTAGTGAAATCTCTCTCTGGATCGTATAACTGAATGTCGATGGTCAAGCGTGGACTTGGTTGTCCAAACACGTGTAGCGCCTGCTCTATTACAAAGAGCAAGGCCGACCTACATCCGGAGAATCGTGAGGAAGAGATCGTAAATACGCCGGCTCGTTACAGCTAAGCCAATGGCAATCCTCGAGAAATAACAGGTTGAATTATTCATGCTACACGCCACATCATATTCTGTAAGTAGACGGCGAACAGACGAACGCACGGTCTCTGCAATCCATTTCGTAGATGGCGTTAGTGATTGTTTTCATATGTACCTAGTCCCTAGGGATGAGAGGGAGGGAAGCTGGAAGTACAGAAAGACCGAGAAAATCTCAGCTCTGCTGTGTGAGGAGGGGGGTGGGGGGAATCATAGAACACTTGAAGACCTGCGAGCAACAGTGGGTTGACACACATGAAACGTCTGTACGCAGTTGCACATTTCACACCGATAATAATTAATGAATCACTGCAGACACATTAATACAAAGCAGGTAGATGCTATGAATAATTCGTCTCTGCATAAAATTACAAAATTAAAGCTTCCATAAGTTTCACTCTTTGCGGCTAATGGGATAATATAACGAAGGAAGAAGAATAATTATAAAAAATAAACGGTACATGCAGCACACATGAGTGTCGTTAAAAATGCATGCATCATTTTAGTCGAAAATTGTCCAGAGAGTCCTAAGCAGAGACGGCTGCATCACATTAAAACGGATCGCAAAGGAATAGGCAATGAAGACGCGGAGTGGATTAAACTGGCGCAACATAGCACCCAGCGGCGGACGTTTGGCAACAAGTCGTGAAATAGATCTCACTAAAGCCAAGAAATCTTTTTACTAACCCCTTGATTATCGCAGCTTCTGAATTACTCTGCTCCATATTCTTAACAAGATGGATCCTGCCGTGGCAATTCTATTTTGCTTAATTTTACCCATTCATTAGTTTCGATCGAAGATAAATCATCTTTCATGCGAATACTGAAATTACGTCGAAATGGTTGACGTTCATTAAACCTTATTACGCTATAAAGTTACGTCAAGAGCGGAAGACCGACGCATGAGCAATGACATTTTACGGTGCACTGAAGGGCGGGGGAAATACCAAGAGACAGATGCATCTTCCAGCGTCCTCTTAATTTGGTCCTCGTCTGTCTCTTCCTTGCAAGACAAAGAAAGACGCCAAGAGATTCCCAATGTTTTCTATCACGTGACTTATTCCTCCGTCATTAAACCAAATTTGTTCTTTTTTTTCTTAATGCGCCCTCTTCCTTGAAATCCGTGTCTTATTTGTTTTATTGGCGCATACAAAAGACGATGAAGCGTGTTCCGTTCAGTCTCCGATGACAAAAGTCAGAACACACCAAACTTCAAAAGAGCGTAATCTTCGCGGTGGCTTCTCTTCCGTGTCAGCTCAAAAACACAGACACGTCGACGCATGTAAATTATTTTTGATCGCGGCTTTACATCAAATAAATTGTCAAAACCTCGCAAGGACAAACCGATAATCGTATTGTCCTCTCGTTTACCCACGAGTGAAGTTGCGAAACGTTGCTTTGTGTTATTCCTGGCCGCAGCCGAGGGCAGCCAACCAATTAGCCTGGAGGCGCGCGTCGGGTCGATAACTCCCAGCAGAGGGCGCCCCTCGGCACAGCATCTACTTGTCTGCCACGCCACCTCCCTTCTTCGGCTGAAGCAACAGGACGCTCGTAATATTGTGCAGCGAATTATGATTATTATTTGCAAAGGCTCATCTAATCAAAATTCTGTCTTTCTCTCGAGTCCGAAGATGGCTGTCTTCTGGGTTGTCTTTGCGAGGACCTCCGAAACGTCGGCAAACTTCTACCAGACTACACAGCGCTACAACCCAGAAGTCAGCCATCTTAATTCAATTGCAATTTATTTATTTGGGACTTGAGGTTAAGATATCGATGTGGTCAAAGGAACATACTGCCTCTTTCTTCAAGGTTGGTCCGTTCTTCAGTTGCAACTGATAACGTGTTTATTTAATTTTCTACCTGTAATTAGCGTAAAACTGTGCCGCAAAACAACAGGCGCACTTGATTCTGAACGCGCACAAAAAGAAGAGAGAGTGATGGTGTTTAATGTATTCTTAGAAAATGTAACCTTCAGGTTATTTGCAGCTTCGTATTCAATAAAATATCGAATTAAATACGAAATCCCCCCCCCCCCGCAAATATCTTGTCCACTCGTACACTCCGGTCTGCTTCAGGAACTTGTTCCACGAGAACAGGTGAATAAAAATGACGATTTAATTCAAAGTATAAAATATTAGTTTAAAAATTACCCTGGCTGTTTGCTAAAGATCTCAACTCAATACAAACACAAGCGTTTAATCCGCCAGCGTTCACTGTTTTTCCGAAGTCGGAGCGTCACAGAAAAAGAGAGTTTCAAGTTTATTTAATCCCTCGTTTTAGAAGTTTGTCTGAGCCCTCAGAATGTCATATAGTTAGGCGAGAAGCAAGAAATCTTGAAAGGCAAAACATATTTATAAGCGAAATGAACACACATCACAGCGACGTGAAAAGAAAACGCTGAATACAAGTACTTGGTAACTGAACACGTACGATACGCCCTCCTGACCAGTGAACACTGATCTTAAGACATCTGCATAGGTTTACGGGAAGCTGGTTCAACTACTCTCTCGTCGCTGGTTGCTATAATACCATACAAGGTATAATCCGTAGAGCGACGCGTATCCACGTGACCAAACATAATCCCCTGACAAAACGATTTCTGCATAAGACGAAGCATACGAAGACACGTAAGGATGATACAACTCTTGCCATGAAAACAACGAATCAACTGATACAATTATGCCTACCACCGCAACAAACTGCGAAAAACCTCCCTTTTCGTTTTAAGGGATGCATTCCGTTGCGTGTTGATCGTTAGTTGCTAAACGTCCTTCTGCGTAGGCGGACTGCCAACCTTACTTCTCGTTTCACTGAGCATAGATTGATATTACAACGAAGTACAAGTCGGAACATATTTCTGCATCCGTGAAACAAAGCCACCCACCAACACACCCTGCCTACGAAAACCTTCCGTGCTTTTTTAACGCACAATATAACCACCACCTGTCTACCAAGATGGCAGAATTTTGTGCGTACCAAATAAGCCACGATTCAAATGCTCGTCTAAAAGTGAAACAAAACAAAACAACAACAACAAAGAAAGAGCACGTGACGCAGTGCTTACCTGCAGCGCAGTGACTCGTCATAGGCGGTGTGCTGACAGAGGGCCGTTAGCGTAGGTCGGCCCGCATGACGCAAAACTTCGCTCTGAAAGTGGATTTCCAAGACGTTCCTTGCTACGTTCAGAATCAATGGCATTCTTCAATGGCTTCCAACTGCAAGGTGTCTTCAGGACTGTAAACACGCGTAAAAATCGAACATCAGCAAATTACAACAGTGTTATGTACAGGGCGACTCATCAAAATAAAAACATTTCTTTCAAGTGTATTCCGATCAATGTGCGCGCTCAAAATGGTTCTCCGGTTATAATTTCCGAAATCGACATCCCACAAGAAGCACCTGACGTGATAAACAGCTTTCGTACAAGGGATCCTCGGACACATCTCGTGGGCCTCAGATCAGTGGATTAATTGAACGCAGTCGGTTCGAAATAAGAGAGCCAAACAGGATGACGTATCAGCTAGGTATTTTACATTGCCCAAGGATGTCACAAGAAATTCAAAACAATAAAATGTACTCAGAAGGCCTGGTTATTCTGTCACTATTTTAAACAGAGCACGTCCCGTTAAATTGGCGCCAGTTCAAAATATTTTACTTTACTAAACATTAAAGCGGGCAAAATTATAATTTTATAAGAATATTAATTTTATAAATTTACTCGGAAACGCCTTTTGGGAAAACACAAGTTTTAAGTTATTTGCTTACATGGGAGAATAATATTAAAATGGATCCGAAAGAAAAATCATTGGTGATGTGGACTGGATTCAACTGGCTCAGAGACAACATTTGATGAGTTTCTTCATCGACTGAGACCCTTTTTGCTCCCAAAGGCAGGATCTGCTCCATGGAGTTAGTCCCTTCACGAAAACAACTTGCACGAAGAAGTATCGAGAGACAATTTCATTATTTTACGTCAACGGTCGACTAATATCGATATATATAGCTGAGTTCAAGTGTACGATTCTGCCATCTTCCGTGCAGAACATACACTGCATCGATAGGCAACACAACCAACAGCCCTGTCGTTCAGGCTGCAGACTTCGAGGTGCAAGAACACGGCTTTATAATACATGTGAGGTAACTCTGATGAAGGTCGAGAATAAAATGTCTTTTTTGTTGTCTGTACATAACTTCAAGTCCTTCATTTCTGTTCGTTCGTTTTTCTTATCTTTTTACCCTTATTTCCGTCATTGCTTTTGATTCCAAGTCCACTTCCCTTAATTACGTCACACGGCAGAAACACTATTTGTTTCCAAGCAGCACTTTTACTCAGTTACCAAAACATTTAGACGTAGGTGTTAATTAGGCCTTTGTGATGAGCATGCTGTTTCTCAGAATAGACTTGTTCATACTTAACAAAGTTCTGCTATTTTCTTCAACTTAATCAGAATGGAAGGATATGTTTGAAGTGCTCAGTATTTTATAAAGTTTAATCCACCAGGTGGCGAAACACGCAGACGTTTAACTGGACTTGGGAGGATGAGTTGGAATTTATCTTCCGATAAATTATCCGATGCGAAATGTCGTCAATTTCCTCCGGTCTTTATTCTGAGTCTGAAGTCGAAATTCCTTCCGGCAGTTTATCAGCTTTCGCTGAAACGAGACTCATATGAGAGGGTGGGAAAGCGCGGAAGGAAACTCGGAGGACAGATGAGTCTGTAAGCCAGACACAGAACAGTCAACAAATTTAACGACGGCTCGGACAGATTTGGCGCGCATGTGAATGCAGGCATCGGACGCGGCGAGACAAGCGTGACTGACACTGGCTATTATACTCCTGTAATACAGCTTACGAACTTCGTAACTAAGTTTTCGACCTGACGCCTGGCTTCGTCATGTTCTTTCACGAAGAAAGTGATGTGACGTGAAGGTTAAGTTTTAATTTTCGCTTTTCAAGGGTTTTGTAGATCACGTATAAAGAATATTATTAGACTACTTTCCTTCAAAACAAACGATAACCACAACTTTCTGAAGGCCAGGTCTACCCCCTGTATAAGCCTAAAAAGTGTTTGACGGAGCAAGGCTACGGTGTGACCTGCTGTACAAAGAAGGACTTTGGTTGAAAACAATAATTGTTCATACGGACAGTAATCAATACACAACCGAATTATAAATTCTCACACAAATCCTACAGAAATAATGAAACTGCTTATTTCATACGAAAGGCTTATTAATACAGTCCTATTATTTGCCACGTGTTGATTTCGTTACGAAGTAATCGGTTGGAAGCAACAGAACGGATGCAGGCTTAGGCCTCTTTTGCACAACAAACTTTGTCGTGGTCGCCTAGCAATACGGTCAGGGACGGAGCCACGGAGAACACGGGTCGAAAGTGAACGATTGTCCAAGTCTCCTGGCTGTAAATCTGCCACGGCAGGTGACTGAACACTTGTTCTTAACTTATTATGAGCGAGGCTAAACTTTAATGTACTTTCTACGTGCAGATGTTTATATAGTTTTTCACAAAGTGCGTGGGGGTGGCGTAGTAAGGGAGACAGAGCTACTTGGGTCAATAACGCACCCCTGGCTCTAGGA